GCAAAGGGTGGGATAACAACATTGAACCCCATGGACTAAGACTGGGATGCCATTAAAGTTCATGTGTGTGTAAAGGCAGGCATCCCAATACTTTTGGCAATATAGTGTAGATAGAGACTTTACAAAAAACAAAAACAAAAAAGAAAAAAAAAACTTTAAAGTGAAACTTCAACTAAAAAAAAACTCCACTTGTCCTCCCCCACAAAGCGCAGTGCTTCTCGCGCATGCGCAGTGGGCACCCGACTGTGAAGCAGCAAGCTGTCACAGCTGATTGCCCACAATGAAGATGCTGGCACCAGGAAAAGAAGACAGCCGGTGAATCCAGCCGTGGTGAGAACACCACTGTACCGAGGGACAGGTAAGTGGCTGTATTTTAAAAGACAGCAGCTACAGCTTTTTTAGTAACTGCTGACTTTTTTACTTCCAGGTGGAACTCAGCTTTAAGCAGCATGGCAGAATACCAATGTAATAAAAAAAAAAAAAAAAAAAAACACACACACACAAAACAAGCACCCTGCTGCTTTTCACTTTTGAAGCCCACTTTATAACAAAAGACAACCAATTCTGGAGGGATTAGAACCCCTGTCTGGGATTTATGACTGCCTGTGTCCCCATTAGGGAGACTCACCCTCTCTCTGTCCTGCTGACTTATCACTAAAAGTAAAGCCCAAACTTTGGGTTGCCTCCAGAATAATAGAAGGGAAATCATCCAATGGAACACTAGCTCTGGTGACAACCACTGATTACTTCCAGAGGCGTCCCTAGGGTTGGCGTCACCCGATGTGGTAACACTTGGTGACACCCCCTCCAACGATCCCCGCAGAATGGATCAGATGTGCGGATTGAGCAGAATGGATCGGACGCCGATCCATTATGCTCAATCCGCAGAGCCAATCCATTCTGCGGGGATTGTCGGCTTTCTTTACAACTTACCTTTTCTTGGAGTGGGTCCGGTGTCACCCCATATAGGTTTCATGCCGACGATCCCTGCAGAATGGTTCAGATCTGCGGATTGAGCATAATGGATTGGAGTCCGATCCATTATGCTCCCCAATCCACAGATCCCATCCATCCTGCAGGGATCGTCGGCATGAAACCAATATGGGGTAACAACAGACCCACTCCAAGAAAAGGTAAGTTGTAAAGAAAGCCGACAATCCCCGCAGGATGGATCAGATCTGCTGATTGAGCATAATAGATCGGAGTCCAATCCATTATGCTCCCAAATCCGCAGATCCGATCCATCCTGCGGGGATTATTGGCATGCAACCAGTACGAGGTGACAACGGACCCGCTCCAAGAAAATGCAAGTTGTAAAGAAAGCCAATGATCCCCGCAGGATGCTTTAGATCTGCTGATTGAGTATAACAGATCGGAGTCCGATCCACTATGCTCCCCAATCCACAGATCTAATCCATCCTGCGGGGATTGTCGGCATGCAACCAGTACGTGGTGACAACGGACCCGCTCCAAGAAAAGGTAAGTTGTAAAGAAAGCTAAGGATCCCCGCAGGATGCTTCAGATCTGTGGATTGAGTATAATAGATCGGAGTCCGATCCATTATGCTCCCCAATCCACAGATCCGATCCATCCTGCGGGGATCGTCAGCATGCAACCAGTACGGGGTGACAACGGACCTGCTCCAAAAAAAGGTAAGTTGTAAAGAAAGCCGGCGATCCCCCGTGCGGTCGGTGTCACCCAATGCGTGCCGCACCTGCCTCTGGACGCCACTGATTACTTCACTCGCACTGGGATTACCTCTCACTTTCTGCCTTGACTATGAGACAGGAAGTGAAGAGAAATTTCCCATATAGGACACAGATGGAAAACAAAAACTGGCAGTGGATATAACCCCCCCCCCCCCCCCTTTTTTTTCCAAAATGCAAACAAAAGTCGTTTAGTTCTACTGTAATAGGTGTGTTTCCTTGATAGCTTAAAATCACAGGGAGGTAGCGTTATGTGGGGACAGAAAGAAGTGGGCCCAAAGTAGTTGTAGCTGGGGAACACACTTTGATCAATGCATTGCCAGCGTAAACTGAGCTGTGGACGACACCCGCACCTCTTCATCTGCTGGGGAAGACAAGGCCCTACCAGTGCTACCTAAACTTCTGAAAGACTCCAGGCTCCCTCACACGCAATACATAGCAAACCATGAACACGTCCCGTGTCATCTTGCAGTTAGAACAAGCCAACTTACCAACTATCTGTTGGCAACCTGCGCACCTCAGCTCCGAGTCCGCCATCTTCCACCCCCAGCTCCGCGCCTCAGCACGTGACCAAAAGCGCCAAGAACTGCGGTGCGGCCAATCACCAAGTGCAGCCTTGGCGTCACGTGACGAGATGCTCCAATAGAAAACAGCGCGCAGTTTGCTGCTTCTTGCTCTGGTGACGACGTGCTGAGTCTTCTGTGAGGAGACCCATAACAGTGAATGTAGTTACAGCACGGACATTGGTGATAGTGTGAAAACCCAGGCCCGACTATACATCACTGCAGCCACACACATTGGGGATTACTACTGTTGGTGTTGTGAGCTGATATCTAAAGAATTTATCGAGTTTTACATGGAAGCTTTTCAACACCAGCTTTGAGGAGCCATAAACCCTGGAAGTGTTCATGTCAACTGGTGTTTTCTGAAACCTTGCATTATCCATTAAAAACGCACACAGCTGCATTCAAAGAAAAAATGCACCCTGGATATTTACCTCTGGTGTGTTGTTGCAGACAAGGGGCACAGGCACACCCAGGAGCTGACTGACAGCTCATGGGGCCCCCGGGCAATAGGGGATCATGGGGCCCCTGTGTCCTTGCCCACACTCAAAAAAGCTTATGAAAAAGGTACCAGGGGCATCTCATGGGGCCCCCTACTGACCCCGTGCCCTCGGGCAGTGCCAGAGTTTCCAAATGGTCAGTCTACCCCTGGGCACACCATTCATCCCCACTGCCAGCAAGCTGTAAAATTATGAGAGGCTGAAAGTAGCTGTGATTGGACAATCCATGCTTGGTACTAATGTGATGGATATGGTAAAATGCCTATTTGGTTTCCTATTGAATATATATATATATATATATATACACATTTTTCTACATATTTACTTTTATACTTTAATACTATTTCTTTCTTCATATTTATAAATGTTTAGTATGAATACATATGTTGTGTGAATATTTTCTGCCTGCTGGGCTTTGTGGTACTTTAAGAAATCCTTGCTTAAGAAATGTCTGCTCACACGCACCGACCTCCTCCCATCGTGCCAACTTGAAACAAAGGAATGTTTTTCTATAGATAAGACTTGGAAGAAGATCACACCTATAGCATGACGGAGATTGTTTTTGTGTGGAAATGACCAATCAAAGACTAATATAATGATTTAGTCGAGGACTGAATCGTCCAGTGCTTATCTGTTCCTGTCCTAATTTATCATTCTAGCTTTGGAATGTGCGCACACTGGAAGAGACTCACGCTGACACACAAGTTCAGTCTATGAACACTTCTAGTTTATTATAATGAGAAAGTGAGCTTATATATGCAAAATGATGCAAGAGTCATGTGAGCTCTGCATAAGCATTATATTAGTCTTTGATTGGTCACTTTACACGAAAACAATCTCCGTCATGGTATAGGTGTGATCTTCTTCCAAGTCTTATCTTATAGAAAGAAAAACATTCCTTTTGTCTTCCAAATCACACGGTGGGAGGGGGTCGGTGCGTGTGAGCAAACATTTCTTAAGCAAGGATTTCTTGAAGTACCACAAAGCCCAGCAGGCAGAAAATATTCACACAGCATATATATTCATGCTAAACATTTATAAATATGAAGAAAGAGATTGTATTAAAGTATAAAAGTAAATGTGTATAAAAAAAAAAGTGTGTATATATATATATATATTCAATAGGAAACGAAATAGGCATTTTACCAAATCCATCACAATAATGCTTATGCTGTTCTCACGTGACTCTTGCATCATTTTGCATATATAAGCTCACTTTCTCATTATAATAAACTAGAAGTGTTCATAGACTGAACTTGTGTGTCAGCGTGAGTCTCTTCCAGTGTGCGCACATTCCAAAGCTAGCTAGCAAAGATTAATTAGGACAGGAACAGATAAGCACTGGACAATTTAGACCTCAACTAAATCACTAACATATAGGTAGTATGTGGCCAGGGCCTAACTTCACCTGCTTGTATTCTGGGCTTTCCTCACTGCGCAGGAGCGGACTGACCATTTGGAAACTCGGGCACTGCCCGGGGTCAGTAGAGGGCCCCATGAGATGCCCCTGGTACCTTTTTCATAGGCTTGAGTTTGGGCAAGGACACAGGGGCCCCATGATCCCCTATTGCCCGGGGGCCCCATGAGTTGTCAGTCCGCCCCTGACTATGTGCATGCTGTCTAAACACAAGTACTACTCAGCGCAGCAGTGTTCAGCCCCTCATAGAGCCTGTGCCATCCTCCATGGTCTCATGGGGCTGAACACCCAGTGTGCATGAGACCAGAAGGCTGCTTTTAGGGCCCATTCACACTACAACAAACATAAAAATGTGCCTGCAGTCAAATGCACCTTTGTGCATTTTTATACGTGTTTCCATACATTTTTATTCTCATTTTTCTGCATATAGTAGTTCTCTTTTAAACCACTTGCCCACCTGAGGATTTCCCCCCCCCCCCCCCTTCCTGACCAGGCTATTTTTTGTGTTATGTTACTGCGTTACTTTAACTGACAATTGCACTGTCATGCAATGCAATGAAATTTGCATCCTTTTTTCCAAGAATTGGGCTTTCTTTAGCTGGTATTTGATCACCTGTGTGATTTCTATTGTTTGCGCTATATCACCTGTGTGATTTCTATTGTTTGCGCTATAAAAAAAAAGATCGACAATTTTGAGGAAAAAAAATAATATTTTTTCTATTAAACAGGTCCAGTAAAAAATAAAAAAAAAATTAATTTCTTCATACATTTAGGCCAAAATGTATTTTTGCTAGAAAAAAAATCCCAATACATGTAAATTAATTGGTTTACGTGAAAGTTTATAGCATTTACAAATGGCGGTGTATATATACTGGGATTTAAAAAAAAAAAACATTTCTACTAGTAATGGCGGTGATCAGCGACTTATAGCAGGACTGCCGCTGGCATTCTGGCACTGGGGGGGAACTGACTTGGTGTCACTGACATCCCCAGTGACACCAATACAATGATCAGTGCTAATAAAAAGCACTGAAACTTGTACTAATGGCACTAGGCAGGAAGGGGTTAACATCTGGGTCAAAAAAAGGGTTAACTGTGCGTTGTTTTACTTCGTGCTGTGTGTGCTTTCAACTGCAAGCACTAAGCTTTGCATGGCTGTGCTACACAGAGCCATACAAAGCAGTGTACAGTAGCTGACAGGAGAGAGATCTGTATTGTTTACTTACAGTTCTCTCCCTCCATCAGTAATGTTCCTCGATCACCAGGTGCCGGCGAGTAATCACTGGCCGAGACTCGGTGATTGACAGCTGAGGCCACGAATAGCGGCGTGGGTAGGGCTCACGTCCGCCCCTACCCAGGAATGCAAAAGTATATATATATTCGTGATTTTGCGCAACTGTGCCACCCTGTAGCAATATTACTGCTATAGATCGGACAGGTATCTGACCTATTTGTTGTGGGTGAGAGGTACATTGCCTTTGTGCAGGTTCACATGCATTTCTGTGCAATATCATGCAAACATGTTGCATAAAATCACACAGATTTGAACTACAGAGAAACACAGCATTCGGGTGTGAACATGACACACAGAAGACTTGTTTTTGTCTTTACAGTTTCTAGCATTTTTCCATGAGAAAAAAACGCCTATAAATGTAGCGTTATGAGTCTTTAATATGCCTTGCTTGCAGTTCAAACACACCGCATAAATTCTGCGTTCAGTGAAATGCAGCACAACACAAAGTAGGTCAGACACGCTTTCTGAACCACCATGTGGTCACTATAAGGTCAATGGGATTTTTTGACCTGTATTTAATGTGCATTCTAAATTATTATACAGTGTTTAAATAAAGGGAAACAATGCCAGTCACGTGAGCAGGGGCGGACTGACCATTTGGAAGCTCGGGCACTTCCCGGGGTCAGTAGGGGACTCCATGAGATGCCCCTGGTACCTTTTTCATAGGCTTTTTTGATTTTGGGCAAGGACACAGGGGTAACATGATCCCCTATTGCCCCCCCCTTGAGTTGTCAGTCCACCCCTGCACGTCAGCCTTTATTCTGTTTATAGGTTAGGAATATTTTTTCATTGTAAAGTTGAGTTCAGACATTTCTAACTTTTCTCATTCATGGACAGCTTCCAAGAAGAGATGGTCAGTAGATTGCCCCACTAAGGGCTCGTTCACACACTATGGTGCAGAGATGCCAGCTTTTCTGCACGCGTTCTGCAAGGGCACAACAAAATCAATTGTTCTCTATGTGCCCTGTTCACACCACAATACTAGTATCACATACAGATTTTTTCTGCCCAGGAATCTACTGATGTCACTGCAAGCTAAATCTGCAAGTCAGTTTACATCAGATTTTCTGCACATATGGTGTGAACGAGGCCTAAAGCTGAACTAAGCCCATCGATTTAACAGTTTAAAAAAATGTTTACATTCCCATCATGCCAGGAATGTTAACCGTCACATTTGCTTGTGCGCTCAACTAAACTGTCAAACCATCAGATGGCTGGTGTCATAGCTGATCACATGTGCAGCACCATGGCAGTTACAGATCAAACAGTGGTGTGTTGTAGCTTGGTAGCAGTTGGGCAGAGTAAAATAAAAAAAAAGTCCTTGTAGGGTGGGGGGGCTTCTATGTCCCCCTCGTTGAGTGCAAGAATGTAGGTTGACATAAGAAGCCTACCTCAGGGTGGGTTCTTTTGGGCCACTCTAGACACAGTGGACGGGGTCACTTGTCCTGCACACAGGGTACCTTTGCTGTATCATGCTTATCAATGCCCTGGGACAAGGGCATTCAGGGAAATTCAACATTACAGTGGTCCTCCAACTTAGAGATGGCCTGTACATCGTGTAGACTGAGTGAATAAACTGAAATCCAGCTAACCTCCTGGTTCTGTGTCAATGCACACCTTGACGGTAACTGTTGGCAATTAGAATGGACACTCTGAGTCCTTGCTCACTCCACCCGTCCAGCCTACCTCTTTCACCTCACTCCTAGTGATAGATTGGGGTCCCACCATGCACATAGAGCAGACCTCATGCGTGTACTTTGTTATTCTTGCTCTCCCGTATATGGTGGCTAAGCCGAGGGCCAAGGCAATGCTGGTCTGCCCCATCTGCTCTGGGATATAAACAACATGGGGGAGGAGCCAAAAGCAGCACCCCCCTCGCTGCCAGAGGACACCCCAGCTAGCATTGGTACCATGCTTCAAGACAAGCTGCTTATACTGGTTAATAGTCTCTTCATTATTCTTGGAAACTACTTGCTACTCCTGCATACCATGTTAACTCTTGAAAGGACTGACATCATACCACAATGTGCTTTAACTGACCCGAACTTCATATGTCTGTGTAGTGTGCCGGTTATTTTTACACACCCCTTTAGAATAACTTCAGACCAGACAGGACAATGTTTCAAAGGCTTTACTGAGAAAACATGAGCATAACAATTTAAATAGGCAATGAATCTTTTCCTGACTAATTCTAACTGTGGCTGCCCCAGCGTACATGCATAGGAAGAGTTTAATAGTGGCAAGTCCAGAGGAGTAGGGGTCTATGATGATGGTGTCCCAACAATTTGGTTTCTTCAGAGCGGACTACAAGTCCCAGGAGATTCTCTACATAATGTTTGTGTGGTTCCCCAAGCAGAATTCAGTGGTAGACTGCCCGAGATCCGATCCCCTCTCCTTGTTATGATCACACTGGACAGGTGGGCCGGAAGACAGAAAAAACATTAACCCCTTCCCCCTGGCTGGGCAGCCAAAACCAACTACCTACAGTAGGCAACCTGTCTACACCATCACTGAAGGCCAGAAGAAGGAGTAGGACAAGGGTGCATGTGTGAGATGGGGAAACAGCTTTCATTGTTTGAACACTGATTGAAGTAAATTAAAAACTTTCTGACTGACATTCTGCAGTTTACCCACAAGATGTCACTGTTTTTTCTAACACAGCCTCAGACTGCATAGAGATTTCTATATTCATGAAGAGGTGGGGTTTTACACTTGGAGAGTGAACAGGAAAAGGAGAGGAGAGCAGCCATGCTTGAGAGAGAGAAGGGGGGCTGTGTGATCTGAGAATCCGATGCCATACAGATGTTTGGACAGCCCTCCGTAATCAGAAATTCAGTTGAGTGAAGGTGATGGTGTTCAAGACGCTAACCCTGTTCAAAGAAAGGAAGATTGCTTCCAGGAAGCTGATAGGAAGCTGAGGAACTAAGCAATATATATACTATGATATTGCATGCTTAGTGGAGAGACATTTGTTCTGTTCAGAGTCACCAGCGGATGCAAAGCAGACCCGGGTCGGTAAGATCGTGCATGCACCTCATTTCAGTGTTGGCGCCTATATGACTGAGACAGGCCTATAGTTAGTTAGTTAGGGTCTCTGTTTGTGTCAGGCCACAAGTGTTGTTACTGATCATTGGAAGGACTCCACAACTTAAAGTGACATTTCACATTGGAAAGCTGATAAAATCCTACAAACTCAAGCCAGACTGGCGTTTTGCTCAGAAGGAATACTCAGGCACATGCTACAGGACCAGTTATGGGAGGGGGAATACTGTAGATTTGTATAAGATTGTAAGCTGTTGTGCTGCACCGCAGGCTAGCCCATACCATACACCCATACACTGATTCTTGTTCTTTTAGGGTAATAACAGGTAAGGTGAGGCAGCTTAGTTGTGCCCGCCAGTAGGTAAATTACTTCACTTTCTACCTTCATCCATCAGAAGGCGTCGTGCTGTGCAGAACAAGGGTCTCAGCCTTTGGGCTGAGTGTATGTAAATTTATTGTATATTCAATAGCAATAGGGTCTCACCCTTTGGGCTGAGTGTATGTAAATTTATTGTATATTCCGGCATTTGTGGTTGTGTTTATTTGCCACATCTAAGTAAAATTCTGTTGTGACAAAAGCTGGTGTTGGGGTTGCTTTCCTCGTTCGTGACTTCACTGTATCCTGGGGAGCCCACCCCGATACATGGCTTACAATGCATGCATGTAGAGATGTCAATCTAGGAGAACAGTTTGTAAGGTGATTGGCATGTAATACACATAATGCTTCAAAAACTGGATGTGGCTACGTTTTTAAGGGGGCTTGGCTTAACGCACACCATAAAAAGATGTTCACCAAGCATAGAACGTTGTACAGCACACTTATCAAATAGGAACATATCCCACAAATCACTTCCCTAGTGGTAACAACATGCAAAGAATTAACACATAGCAGCATTCTGCATACTGGATAAAAGAATTTCTACTTTGCGGCATCCATGCATACAGAATAAGAGCAGGTAATGGCTGGACTAAAATTGCTCCCAGCTATTGCTGACATGAAAAGAATGACACAAATGTTTACACTGTAAGTGGTGCAGTTTGTGTAATAGTTGTATAGTGAAAATTGGGGATGCAACATATACAGGCTATAACACACACTATCTGTGTGCAGGTACTTTTTATATATCTGTGATCAGTGCTTCAAATTTAGGCATCATGCACACTGGGCATTTGCTCAGCTACTCTTAATGCCTTTTCTTCAAGCAGGAGAACAGCAGCGTTAACAATGTGCCTAAAGCTGCATTTTGCAAGGCAGGTCAGGCATTTGGATTTCATGTCATTGGCATAGACAATTAATAAACGCTCAAGTGCTTAACGCACCTAGCATATAGTTTACCCATATTTATGTGCATTCAGTGTTTTTTTTGCTGAAATGCTCCTCTCCTGAATGCACTAGCACTGGATTATTTTTTTTCTTCCTCCAAACACTCCTGCCTCTAAACCAGCCTTTCTTAACCAGGGTGCCTTCAGGCTTCTTCAGGGATGCCCAAAAACTGTATACAAGCAAGCAGGTGGATCAATCCTGCCTTTTAGTACACAAAGCCACAAGTTTTCATTGTGCAATTTTATGACCTAGCTGCCAGCATCCTAACAACCAAAGACTTCAACAATTGATAAGGAGAACTATAAGGTGTTTATCCGCTTAAGGACCACTTTATAGCGGATATACTGCTACAGGACTGCACCTGCTGCGCAAAATCATGTGTATATTTTTTGCATTTCTGGGTAGGGAGCGCGCATGGCCGCGGATGTCAATCACTGAGTCCCAGCTGGTAATTACCCACCGGCGCCCGGTGATTACTGACAATCACTGACAGGGAAAGGGAGGAAGACATTTTGTTTACAAACAGTAAACAGTAAAGTACACCCCCCCTAGTAAAACACTCCCGGCACACAGTTAACCCTTTGATTGCCCCTCACATTAACCCCTTCCTGCCCAGTGCCATTAGTACAGTGTCAGTGCTTTTTATTAGCACTGCTCACTGTATTGCTGTCACTGGGGATGTCAGTGACACCAAGTCAGTCCCCCCCCCCCCCCCCCCCAGTGTCAGAATGCCCGCAGCAGTCCTGCTATAAGTCACTGATTGTTGTCATTACTAGTAGAAATTTAAGCAAAACAAAATCCCAGTACATACCGCCTTTAGTAAACACTATAACTTTCACGTAAACCAATTAATTTACATGTATTGTGATTTTTTTTTTTAGCAAAGACATGTAGCAGAATAGATTTTGGCCTAAATTTATGAAGAGATTTGATTTTTTAAATTTTTTTACTGGACATGTTTAATAGCTAAAAGTCAAAAATATTTTTTTTTGTTCTAAAAATTGTCAGTCTTTTTTTTTATAGCGCAGACAATAAAAAACACACAGGTGATCAAATATCACTGAAAAAAAGCTCTATTTGTGGGAAAAAAGGACGTAAATTTCATTTGGGTGCAGCGTTGCATGACCGCGCAATTGTCAGTTAGAGTAATGCAGTACCGAAACGCAAAAAATGGCCTGGTCAGGAAGGGGGATAAATCCTCAGGAGGGCAAGTGGTTAAACAGTGAAACCAAAGTAAACCAAACCAAAATCCTTTTAGACACATTATTTAAATGTGTATTTTGGCTCCTTTTTATTTTAGCATTATTTACGTGCATTTTGCCACTTTTTAACATGAAGTATTATTTAACACGCATTTTGAAGTGGGTTTTTTTAATGTGCATTTTGGTGCTTTTCTAAACACACATTTAGGTGCTTTAACGCACATTTTGGCACAGGTTATTTTGACATGCATTTTGGTGCAGCTTGTAACACACTTTTTGGCACTTTTCTTAGTATGTATTTTGGCACTTTTTTTTAAAGTGCATTTTGATTTGGTTTCTATGCATATTTTGGCAAACTGCACATCTGCTAGCCACTTTTGCATGCATTTCTAAGAACACACACAAAACACGCAGGTAAAAACAAACCAAAATAAATGTAAAAAAGAAGCACCAAAATGCACATAAAAATTTCAACTCACATTTTTAAAAGAAAAATGTGTGTGTTGAAAAAAAGCAGCTAAATATTTGTTAAATCTGCACCAAAATGTGGATTAAAAAGGCCCAAAAAAGCCAAACTGAACCTTTTTTGGGCATGGAGTGTTGTGTGTTTTTTTTTAAATACGCATTTTGGTGCGTTGATAGCGTATTTATCAAATTACAATATGTGCGGCAAAATGCATGTCTGCTAGCAGTATTTGGGGTGCCATTAACAAAAAATGGCACCCAAAAGCTCACTCCGTATTTTAACACAATTTTAGCCCAATTTGGTATTGCGGCAAGAATTGTGCAATTCTGCCAACAATTCTGCATTGCTAAGATGTGAATGCGTTTTAAACAACAACACACTATAACTATAGTGTGTGTATACACACACACTATATATAAAATACATACAATATACATACATAAACATATAGAGTTATAATTTATATCAATGTTTAACCCCACCAGTGCTGATATTAGGAAGAAAGGAACCTTCTTCCTCACATCACAGCAGCTTCTCACCTACAGTGAGGAACAGAAGTATTTGAACACCCTTCAATTTTGCAAGTTCTCCCACTTAGAAATCATGGAGGGGTCTAAAATTCACATTGTAGGTGCATTCCCACTCAGAGACAGAATTTAAAAAAAAAATTAAGGAAATCACATTGTATGATCAAAATCATACAATGTGATTTTCTTAATTTTTTTTTTTATTCTGTCTCTCAGAGTGGGGTGAACGCACCTACAATGTGTGGAATTTCAGACCCCTCCATGATTTCTAAGTGGGAGAACTTGCAAAATCGCAGGGTGTTCAAATACTTCAATGTTCCTCACTGTATATTTTCCAGCTGTCTCTGGGCAGTGAGTCCCCTCCATCTGGGAACGAAGATATTGGGTTCTTAAGAGATGGCCAGTGAGATCTTCAGATCTCACCTTCATAAAACTGGCCATCTCTGTAAAAGTGAATGACAGAATGGTGTATCCTGTGATGAGAATTGAAGAAAATGTTCTTCGCTCCTCACCACAGCTTCATAAACTGGCAAACCTGGGAGATCAGCTGTGATCATCAGGATGTTGGCTTTTCTCTCTTTCATAAACAGACACCTCAGTGGGGATGAGACTTCCTAATTTGCCCACTTTTTTCTAGAGCAAAATAGCAATTTTGTACCAAAAAGCATATGTAGTGTCTGCCAGTGGCCCTTTTAAGCTGCTCAGCAACATTGTGTCTATCTGCATAGCTTGTTTCTTTCTTCCTGTTCGTAAATGATAGCACAAAGAGAGAGAGAGAGCATAACGGAAGGGGATCCTGACTGACTGCTGTAGCAGCTTAGGAAGGAATTTTGGCCCCTAGCAATGGGGAGGGAGGATTTTGATTGGCCACTACCACCCCAAACGGCAGGTGGGGGGGAGCCCAGGAGCTGCCAGAGACTAGGGCCCGTACCTGAGCGTGTCTGCCCAGGGACAGGGCTGAATAACCATAGAATCCACTGAATGCTGCGCTAGGCAGAGAAACGTGCCAAAAGCCCAGACAGGAGCCGCTGTGAGGGGCCACATGCTTTTGTGCTGTCAAAAGAGTGGGAGCAGCACTTAAAGTGGTTGTAAACCCTCACATATACCCAGTGAAGTGCCAAGCTTTAGGTGATACACAGAGATGAAACAAATCCTCCTACATAAGTTCCATTGAAAGTGCAGAATTTACACAGAATCTCTCAGCTGCTCTGAAAAGCAGGGGGCGGGGAGCTGAAGTTACATCAGTGAGGAGAACTTTAAGAGCTGGCTGGTGGAAAAGAAACACACCCTCGTTTCACATAGCACACAGGAACAGAGCTAAGGCTGTCTACCCCAGGCTGTTGTCAAGGTCCTACCTTTTCCCTGAGGTTATGTTACTCCATGTGCTGGCGTCCATCTTGGATTCTGCTGTGCATGGTGGGAATCCTTTTATGCCTTCAGGTCTCTGAGGTCCACCCCCCAGAGGGGCGTGGCTGATGACATATAAGCCTGTGGCCCGCACATGCTCTTTGCACTTGTGTCTTGTGTCTTTGTGTTGCTATTACTCTGTTCTGACTCTCGTGACTCTCCTGGTATCTGATTCGGCTTGTGACTTGACTATTCTTTGTATTCTCCTTTGATCTGACCCTCTGTTGCTGAACCCGGCTCGTGACCTGTGATTCTCGTCTGCTGTCCTGTACTGTTTTGTCCTGTTGTTGTTGACCCCGGCCTGTCTGACTACTCTTTTGTCTCTTCCACCAGCTACACGCCATTGGCGGTGGCCATTACCGCAGCTGAGGTGTCTCGGGGGCCGCGACCTGGTTCCTGGCTGCGTCAAGTCCATCCTCACCATCAGGGGCCCTGTTGAAGGGCAGCCTGGGACTTAGACTCCGCGCCCTGAGGGACTTTGGTCTGTGGTGGTGGCTGTCGTCAGCCAGTGCGTTACATTGTTAGGCCTGCCTGTCCGTTCCTCAGCTCCTGCCCTGACATTACACACAAGTGCCATGAACCCTGACGGTGCAGGCACGCCTTCGCTCCCAACGCTAGTCCCCAGACTCGATCAACAGGATCACCTGTTGGATCAGTTCGCTCAGGCGTTGCAAACTCTGCTTGCACGCACTGCACACCTTGCTCCTGGTGCTATTAGGCCGGTAGTCACTCCGGTGGTCTCTCCCGCTTGCTTCTCCGCCTATTGCGTCCACCACCTCGGCGGCTGCTGCATCAGCAGCACCCATAGGTATGACTGGTTCTGCCCCTCTTCCACAGCGCTTTGGGGGTGAGCCGAGTCAGTGTCGTGGGTTCCTCAACCAGGTGGGTATTTATTTTGAATTAATACCCCACGCCTTCCCGTCTGAGAGGTCAAAGGTTGGGTTCCTAATTTCACTACTCTCAGACAAGGCCTTGGCCTTCAAGATTTTTCCGGTTTTGTCGATGCCTTCCGTAGGGTATTCGACGTACCGGCTTGTTCCGCCTCGGCGGCCAAGCTGCTCATGACCATGCATCAGGGTTCACGGACCGTGGCCGAGTACGCCATAGAGTTTCGTACCCTGGCGGCAGAGGTCGGTTGGAACAATGAGGCTCTGGTGGCTGCGTTTTCCCATGGTCTTTCTGACACACTGAAGGACGAGATTGCAGCTAAGGAACTGCCTGTGGTGTTGGAGGAGCTCATCTCTTTCCTGATCCTGATTAACACCAGGCTCAGGGAGAGGCCTTCACTCAAGGAACGCCTGCGGAGGCCTTCCAATCGACTGGCACCTGCGTTTTCTGTCCCACTCGTTCCTCCCTCTCCTCCCACGCCCTCCTGAGGATAGATTGTCTGGTGGTGAGCCCATGCAGCTGGGGTTTGCTCGCCTTTCCGAGGGAGAGCGGGCCGCTCAGCGTCGGGAGGGTCGCTGCCTGTACTGTGGTCTTGGTGGGCACTTTCGGCAGTCCTGTCCGGTCCGTCCGGGAAACGCTCGCACCTGAGATCCTGTCGGGGACAGATCTTGGGTGGAGTCTCCTCGTCCCCGGCGTTCCGCAGAGATAAGCCACTGATCACCGTTGTCCTCTCTTGGGCGGAGGGCTCTGTGAAGGCCCAGGCGTTGGTAGATTCTGGGGCCGGCGGGTTGTTTATGGACAGCTCGTTTGCTGCCCAGCAGCACTCCATTCCCCTGCAGGCTCGAGTTACCCCATTGGTTCTCGAGGCGATAGATGCCAGGCCCCTGCAACCACCGCAGGTTACCCACGAGACTGTGCCAGTGGAAGTAGCTATTGGGGCTGTTCACAGGGAGTTGGCCTGTTTCCAGGTGATTTCTTCTCCGCACTATTCGGTGGTTTTGGGGTATCCCTGGCTCCAGATGCACAATCCAACCTTCAATTGGCAAACAGCCGAGATTCTCTCGTGGTCTCCACAGTGTGGGGCCGGGGTGCATCCGTGGGCCGGTTTAAGGTGTTGTGTGCCTCCTCGGACTCTGCATTGCCCACTGATTATGGGGAGTACCAGGACGTGTTTGATAAGGTACGCGCTGGTGCCTTACCTGCTCATCGTCCTTACGACTGCGCCATATCCTTGCAACCCGGTGCCACTCCTCCGCGTGGCA